CAAAACGTATACCCATAAGTTTGTGATCGCAGAGCATGGCATGATGCAAAGTGTAAGTTCTTATTCGGCGTTTCGACATTGGGCGGAAGGCAGGGGGAAAGGGGGGGTCTGGCCCGGGACCTCTGCGTCATGCGCCTGTTTGCGGCAGCGCGTCCGATGGGGGAGACCCCACATGCCTAAAACAGGCGCCAAGAACAGCCCTGATCTGCTCCATTTGTTTGGGGGTGGGAAGGGGGTGCGAGTCTGAAGTCGATGACAAGTGACTGGGCGCTGCAGGGGGTCGTTTGCGCGAGGCTCCGACGCCCGAAAAAACTATCGCGCCCGGTGTTCCTCGCCGTGCCTGGGGCCGCCTGTCCGTAGGTTGACGACCGAAGAGTCGAACCTACAAGGGTTGCTGCAGGTAGAGGAAAGCAAGGGAGAGGATAGCGATCCCTTTTCCCATGCGCCGCGGGCAAGCGGCGCTGTACCACGGGGGTCCCGCTGGCATCTGCGAGCTGCGCGGCTACTCTAGCTTGCACACGGGCAGCTCCGTTGAGCAGCTGAGGCCGGACTGCCCTGGGCCGCCCCAGAATCGCAACACGCTCTCGAATGTCAGGTATGGCGTGGAGCGTTTTTTCGGGTCTGGGGTGGAGCGCAAGAGGGGGAACCTCTGAACCCACTATGCCCCCCAGTGGCTGCCCCAATTCCAATGTTTTCTGCTCCTGGGTGACGCCGCGCCGCCTCCTGTCTGTGGTTTGGGCCTGGAAGGCCTGGTTTCTCTCGCTTTCTCTGGGCCTGGGTTATCCTTGGGCGCCCTCAATTCGGCCCCCTCCCGTTCCTTCGGGTTCGGTTGGGGCAGCTGCTCCTGTCTGCGGTTTGGGCCTGGAAGGCCTGGTTTCTCTCGCTTTCTCTGGGCCTGGGTTATCCTTGGGCGCCCTCTCTTCGGCCCCTCTCCCGTTCCTTCGGGTTCGGTTGGGGCAGCTGGGCTTGGACCCCATGCTCCTTCTCCTCCGACCCCCCACTCCTCCTCCTCCTCCCCCTCCCCCCCCTCACTCTCTATCTCCCTCCTCCCTTCCAGCCTCCTCCTCACCTTCCCCCTCCCCTCTCCCTCCAACATCCACCCTCCTCCCTCTAAGATGTGGGTCTGCCCCGTCTGTCCAGCAGCGGCCGAACCCAGCGGAACAGCAGGTCCTGCAGGCAAGGCAGGGGGAGCGGCGGTCCAGATGGACCAGAGTGATTCCTCCACACGCCCCTCCTCCTCCTCCTTCTTCGTCTTCTTATTCATATTATTGTTATTATTATTAATACGATTCGCCTAATGCTTATCATTATTATTATTGGTTTAGTACTCGAAGCCTTATTATGTTATTATTATTCGTCGTATTATTCTTGCTCGTGCATTATCAGTAGTGTGCTGCGTCTTCTTGTTATAATGGTTTCGATTGTTATTATGATGGTTCGTCGTATTATTATTATTCCTCCTCCTCCTCCTCTTTCTCCTGCTCCGTCTCCATCCTAATCATCATCAGCAACACCACCACCACCACCAGCATCATCATCATCATCATCATCAGCATCATCATCAGCAGCATCAGCATCATCATCACCACCAAAATCATCATCATCATTATCAGCATCAGCATCATCGTCATCATCAGCATCGGCATCAGCACCAGCACCAGCATCAGCATCAGCATCAACATCTGCAGCATCAGCATCATCATCATCATCATCACCACCACTATCATCAGCATCATCAGCATCACCATCACCAAAACCATCACAACCACCATCATCATCATCATCGTCATCTTCATGACCATCGTCATCATCGTCATCCTCATCAGCACAATCATCATCGGCCATAGCAGCAGCATCATCAGCATCACCATAATCAGCATCATCAGCAGCATCAAATCATCATCAGCCTCATCATCATCACCATTATCATCCTCCTCATCAGACATCAGCATCATCATCACCATCATCACCATCATCGTTGCCATTCTCATCATCAGCATTACCACCACCACCATCTGCATCATCATCACCAGCATCATCATATCATAATTATTAGTATTATCATCACACTCATCAAGAGCATCGTCATCATCTTCATCAGCACCAGCAGGCGCAGCATCATCACCACCACCGCCACCATCATCATCATCATCATCATCAGCATCATCATCGTCAGCATCAGCATCAGCATCATCAACGTCAGCATCATCATCACCATCATCAGCATCGTCGTCATCGTCATCAGCATCGGCTTCAGCGTGATCAGATTCATCATTATCAGCATCAATAACATCCTCATACGCATCAGCATGATCTTCATCGTCGTCATCATCATAACCATTACCATCAGCATCATCTTCGCCATCACCGTATGTAGTGTAATCAACGCCATCATCACCAACATCAAGAATTCGTCATCATCATCAGCAGCAGCAGGAGCAGCATCATCACCACCACCGCCACCACCATCATCATCATGATCAGCATCATCATCATCATCATCATCATCATCAACGTCAGCATCAGCATCACCATCATCACCATCATCTTCATCATCATCATCATCATCATCATCGTCATCGTCATCGGCATCGGCATCGGCATCAGCATCATCATGTTCATCATTAGCAACATCAATAACATCCCCATACGCAGCATCATGGTCATCATCGTCGGCATCATCATAATGAGTAGCATCAGCACCCTCATGATCATCATCACCATCATAATTACAGACATCAACATCAACATCATCAGCAGCATCAGCAACTGGATCAGCATCGCCAGCATCATAATCAGCTTTATCATGATCACCAGCAACATCATCATCATCATCATCATCATCGTCATAGTCATCGTCACCGGTACCGGTATCGTCAACAATATCGGCATCGTCATCGTCATCATCATCAACATCAGCATCACCATTATTATCGCCACCATCATCATTATGACCACCACCACCACCGTCATTATCACCATCACCATCGCCATCATCATCAGCAGCAGCAGTGTCGGTGTCGTCGTCGATGTCGTCGTCATCGTCGTCGGCAGCGTTGTCGTCGTCGTCGTACTCGTCGTCGTCATCGTCGTCATCGTCGTCGTTGTCGCCGTCGTCGTCGTCGTCGACGGCGTCGTCGTCATCGTCATTGTTATCGTCGTCGTCGTCATCATCATCGTCCTCGTCATCGTCATCATCATCAGCATCATCAGCAGCAGCATCGTCATCATCAGCATCAGCATCAGCATCACTATCGTCATCATCATCATCATCACCATCATCATCGTCGTCGATGCCATCGTCGTCATAATCAACGTCACCGTCTTCGTCAAGATCCCCCTCCGCATGCTCCTCCTCCTCCTGATCATGAACACTATTTGAGATGCACAACGGTTCCACGATCGAGGGCTGGGGGGTCATTGTACGGATCAGCACTACGTCGGAGATCTGAGTATTCATTCTCCTCGAGATGAGGAATTGCAGAACTTCATATTGTTTGCCAATTGAGGCGCCCTCGTCACCACGGGTGGATCCGCCCCGAAAGACTGGCCAGGACATAACCCCAAAAAGGCCCGGGGGTCTTATCTGATGGAGGAACCCCCGGGCAGTCAACGTCTTGGGAAAACCTTGATGGCCGAAAGTATACCATCTTGGAACATCAAACTCCCGAAAAGCTGTGGAGATCTTGGAGAAATCTTCGCAAGTCCTACGATCTTTGAACAATCTTAGAAAATCTTGGAACATCGAAAACTCCATCCAGAAAACAATGTTGGGCCCTGGGTCCACGAAGAAGCGGCCCAGGATGGAGCACCGACCTCAGGGATGGGGCCCCGAGCTCCAGGGCCCGCGCAGCTGTAAAAACGTGACGTCGGACTCCGCCTCGGGAGAGGAGTAAGGAGGAGTAAGGAGGAGGAGGAGGAGGAGGAGGAGGAATACGACGACGACGCCGACGCGGACGGATGAACGCAGGGAGGGATGCGGGAAGGAAAACACGCTCCCCGATCCTTCTGACGAAAGGTGTAAAATTACTGCGCGCACTCAGCACACCAGATGCGAAATGCCCTGGCCACAGCATGTGTTTTCTGGTAGACGCGTCGCGCCTAAAGAATGTGCATCCATATGTTGGGCCTAGAATCGCTTGCTCCAAGCGGGACGCACCCCCCCAATACATGGGTTTGTGTGTGCGTGGGTGCGTGAACTGTGCCCGAAGATGGGTGTAACGCACGAAACCGCACGGCACCTGCAAGTGCACCCAGTCAGATGACGAGCAGTGCAGACAGTGCGCGGCGCCGTTGGGCCAGGGTTCAGCGGTGCAGGCATGAGCCAGCAGGGTAGCCGAGCAGAGAACAGAGAAGGCACCATGGAAGAAGAGGTGTGTACAGTCGGATCTAGAACAGAAGAACATTCTTCAAAAACATGAAACCCTCCGCCGGCCAAAATGAAGAGCATTCTAGGGTACCCTCCCCCAGGATGCACAAAAAACATCCAACAAGCACGAATAACATTAGGAAACCCTTCCCGAACCGACTTCGATCTGATACCTCGGTCCGACTGTACCTGTGCTTGGGATGTGAAGGAGACGGAGGAGGAGGTCCTGCTTATCCTCCCTCCCTCCCTCCGCTCCTCCATCCTCAACATCATCCTCCTCGTCATCCTTCTTGTTGTCGCCCTCCTCCTCCTCCTCATCCCCCTCCCCTCCTCATCCTCCCGCGCCTTATCCTGCTTGTTTACTTTTCTCAATCTCACACTCCCTCCTCCGTCTACTCCTTCGTGCACCTCCTCCTTACCTCCCTCCCAGCCTCCCTCCATCACGCCACCTTCTCCTCCTGCTGCTGCTCCTCCTCCTCGTCCTCCACCCTCCTCCTCCTCCTCCTCCTCCTCCTCCTCCTCCTCCTCATCCTCCTCCTCCTCCTCCTCCTCCTCCTCCTCTCCTGCTCATCCTCGTCGCGTTGAGGTCGAGGAGGGGGGGGGGCCGACTGCCACTCGGGCTTCAGTCCTACCGCTGCACCGCAACACCTGGCCGTGGCCCTGTTTGATTGTTTGATGCTTGGTTTTGCGACTGCCAAGCTCACGCGAGCGTTTGTTCGTTCTCAGGCCCTTCATGGTCACTTCCGACCAGCACCACCATAACAGAGGGGCCCTCCACGAAAAAACGGCCTTGGGGATGGGACCGAGAACTCTGGCGGCCAGGCGACAACGGTTTGCAACTCTTCAGTTGTTCCGGTGCATTTGACACTTGACGTCGCTGCGCGTAGTTTTGATTGCAGAGGGACGCCCCAGCCTGTAGATGCACACCCATGCCTCCCCCAAAGCTCGTGCCACAGGCTTGAAAGCTGACTGACTGTGGAAGAATCATGCCGCAATCGCTTGAGAGCTGGATACAGAGACAACCGTACTGTGCGATAACAACGCGCCAAGAATGGCACGAATATGTGTAATCTCCAAAATGTGGCATGTTCGAAGAAAAAAACCGCGCAAGCCTGACATGACCAGGAACCCTACCGCAGCAGCGGGGTCAAATTCCAATGAGGGCCTCACAGTCCCCGCGGGGCGAAAGCCTCTGCCAGAAAACTGAGCCCCGCAGTCACGACGTTGTTCAGGGACGGCCCAGCCTCACGGCAGCTCGCCAGCTCAATCTGCATTCGGCGCACCTTATCCCTAGCTCTTTCTTCAGCCTCTCGCGAATCAATAAGAGACATCCGCCACCGTGTCTTGCGCACATAGTGGAATTCCACCAACGGTCACACCGCCGTGAGAAGTGGAAAAGCTGTGATGTCTCAAACTCTGCAAGGCCTGAATTACCGACAGACCGGACTTCTCGGGCGCTATCGGGAGCTACTGGGTATACCCCGCGTGAGCCTCCTAGAACCCAAAACTACGCGATGACACCCTTGCGACAAACAATTTGCCACGAGGGCCCAGCAATGAACCGACTGGCCTTTACGACTACTTGGGCTGACCTTGCTCGGTTGGCCTGACTTCTTTGGTGTAAGGAAAGCAAGGAGGGTGGTGAGCTTGCTGTGCGGTGGACGCACATCCAAAGGAAAAACGAAAACAGAAAGGAAGCATAAGCAAATGTATACCTATACGACCACCCTTCGGGTGATAAGGAGGTTCGGGGGGGGAGGAACCAACGTCTCACTCGATCGGTCTCACTATCGATCTCACTATCGGTCTCACTATCGGTCTCGCTCGATCGATCTCACTCGATCGATCTCACAATCGTTCTCACTCGATCTACTTCAATCGATCGATCTCACAATCGATCTCACTATCGATCTCACAATCGATATCACTATCGAACTCATTATCGATCTCACTCGATCTATTTCATTCGACCGATCTCACAATCGATCTGACGATCGGTCTCACAATCGATATCACTATCGATCTCATTATCGATCTCACAATCTATCTCACATTCGGTCTCACTATCGATCTCACTATCAATACCACAATCGATCTCACAATCAACGTCATCATCATCATCAACAACATCATCGTCACCATCGCCATCAACATCATCATCATCACCACCATCATCATCATCATCATCATCATCATCAACATCAGCATCATCATCATCGGAACACCATCATCATCATCATCATCATCATCATCATCATCATCATCATCATCACCTCATCACCATCATCATCAACATCATCACCATCATCATCACCATCATCGGGACACCATCATCGTCACGATAATCATCATCAACACCAACATCATCATCGGGACACCATCATCATCATCATCATCATCATCATCATCATCATCATCATCATCATCATCATCGGAACACCACCATCATCATAATCTCATCATCCTCATCACCGACTTCATCAATATCACCTTCATCGGGACACCATCAGCATCATCAGAAGCATCATCATCATCATCAACATTGTCATCATCATCAAGACACCATCATCATCGTCACATTCATCATCATCATCATCATCATCATCATCATCATCATCATTACCGGGACACCATTATCATCATCAACATCAGCATCATCACCATCATCGGGCCACCATCATCAAAATCATCATCATCATCACCTCATCATCATCCTCATCATCAACATCATCAGCAGCGGGACACCATCATCGTCATCATCAACATCATCATCGGGACACCATCATCATCACCATCCTCATCACCAGCATCATCATCAACCTTATCATCATCATCATCACCATCATCATCATCGGGACACCATCATCATCATCTTCATCACCATCATCATCATTTCATCATCATTTCATCATCATCAACATTATCATGATCATCAATATCATCATCATCGGGACACCATCATCGTCATCAGCAACATCATTATCATCAACATCATCATCATCGGGACACCATCATCATCACCATCACCATCATCATCATCATCATCATCATCATCATCATCATCAACGTCGTCAACATCATCATCATCGGGACACCATCATCACCACCACCATCACCATCATCATCATCATCATCATCATCAACATCATCGACATCATCGTCATCATCATCGGGACGCCGACTGGACACCGGCGGGACACAGGCGGGACACCGCGCGGCACCGGCCCCTGGAAGAGAAACATTTGGTCCGGCCGCGCCTCAGCCAGAGGCGGGACACCGCGCGGCACGGGCCCCCAGAGAGGAATCATTTGGTCCGGCCGCGCCTCAGCCGGAGGAGACTTTCTTCTCGCCCGCCCACGCAGCTTCGCCTCGCCCGCACGCACGGCACGCACGAACACCAAACCGAAACCGATTTCCCGGTAGGGAGGTTCTCCGTTCAACTTCGATCTCACCCCCTCACCTCCGACAACACATATACAACAACTGTGAAATGCATATACCTAAAAGGGTACATACTCAAAACATATACAATACACTGGGAAACCATATGCGAACCCACAGACAACAGTATAAAACGCATGTACGATACATATATAGCACACACAAACACGTCTACACATCAGATCAACCACATCTATAAAATAGGCACACAGCATGCACACAACTTGCACAAACAATATACAAAGCATGCGCAACGAAAATACAGCACTTATAGAAACGTATCGTACATATACACAATACACATGCAGCACACGAAGGCGTCTGATACAACCCGTAAACAAACCATCAACAAAACATACACAACGCGTATACCAACACATCTACAAAAACGCACGCAACGCATTTACAACTATATACAAAGCGTCGCCACACAATATACAACGTATTCGCAGATCAGGCGCAAGCACGTAGACAACGCATGCACAAAACAGATACAACCCATGTACACAATGTATGCATAACGTATATAAATGTGGAATGGACATATACAAACATACGCAGCATACCCCCAATATATGCTCGACATGTTGACAAAAAAAAAAAAAAAAAAAAAAACATTATAACTTAACAATAATAAGCATGCAACACATATGCAACGCGTATACAAAACGTACACGCCAGATGTACACAACAATTCCAAACCTTCTACAACACGTGGACGAAACGCAACCACAACAAGTACACAGTACGTGCACAATATATATATATATATACATATATATACATGAACGCATATACAGACATGTACAAAAGATAACCTAGCCGTATACAACAAATATACCAAACATAAACATTGCACATACACGACACATGTCCAAAGCGTATAGGGCACACCTATGTTTTAATGCATCCAAAGCACACACAAATCATACAAACAAGCATATACATCACATACACAGCGTGAACAAAACGTATACGGAACATGTACAAACCATATAGCAAAACATACGTACTAATTACATGTACACACAACACTGGGGAAACATATGCAAAGCGCACAAGCGTATGCACTACAATTACAAACAATACACTACATTACACAAATCATATACAACGCGTATAAACCAACGTAAACAACGCATATTAGAAACACAAGCAGCCCGTATGTACAGCATTTACACAACAAACTCATGCCACATGTTATGGAACAAAAACCTATACCGAGCACAAGCAAAACGTTCACATAACGCATATACGACCATCACATAATGCATTCAAAAAGCATGCGAAACGTGGACACAACATGTACCAAACATACACAGCAAGACCACAAACCGAACACAACATGTATGCACCACCACCACCACCACCACTGAGCCGAGCGTCCGGAAGGACGCAAAAGAGTGCGCGATTGGCAACTCTTCAGGACCACTGGGGCCGTCGGTGGAGCTCCCTATGGGGCCGCGAACGGTGATGGGTATGCCGAAATGGGTGCGGTGGGCATGTGAACGCAGCCACTGGCGCCGTCGGTGGAGCTCCCTATGGTGCCACGAAACACGTGAGGGTGTGCCGGAATGTGCGTGGGTGTCGCATGCGGGCGGTGGCACCGGGGCTTTCGTTGGAGCTTCTTATGGGGCCACGAAACGTGGGAGGGGTGTGACGACATGGGTGTGGGTGACGCATGCGGGCGGTGGCACTGGCGCCTTCGGTGGAGCTCCCTATGGGGCCACGAACAAGTGAGGGGGGTGCCGAAATGCGGCGGCGCCGCCATGCGAATTGCGCCACTGGGACCTTAGGTGGAGCTCCGTATGGGGCCACGAAACGTGTGAGAGTAGTGCCAAACTGAGGCGGCGCCGCCATGCGCAGCTTGCCACTGGGACCTTAGGTGGAGCTCCCTAGATGTGCCTACGAAACGTGGGAGGGGTGTGACACAAGGGGGCGGCGCCGCGATGCGAACTGCGCCACTGGGACCTCAGATGGAGCTCCCTATGGGGCCACGAAACGTGTGAGGGGTGTGCCAAAAGGGGGCGGCGCCGCCATGCGAACTGCGCCACTGGGACCTTAGATGGAGCTCCCTATGGGGCCACGAAACGTGTGAGGGGTGTGCCAAAATGGGGCGGCGCCGCCATGCGAACTGCGCCACTGGGACCTTAAGTGGATCTCCCTATGGGACCACGAAGCGTGTGAGGGGTGCGCCAAAAGGGGGCGGCGCCGCCATGCGAACTGCACCACTGGGACCTTAAATGGATCTCCCTATGGGACCACGAAGCGTGTGAGGGGTGCGCCAAAAGGGGGCGGCGCCGCCATGCGAACTGCACCACTGGGACCTTAAGTGGATCTCCCTATGGGGCCACGAACCGTGTGAGGGGTGTGCCAAAGTGGGGCGGCGCCGCCATGCGAACTGCACCACTGGGACCTTGGGGGGACTTCGTATGGGGCCACGAACCGTGTGAGGGGTGCGCCACATTGAGAGGAGAGAGGAGGGGGAAGGAGGAGGGAGAGGAGGAGGGTGAGGAGAGGAGGAGGAGTGAGACGCGGGGAGCTGTCTTTTCAAAACGATGACCCAACACCACAGGATGGTTGGGAATTTTAACATCAAATCGGCGCCTGCGGCGGGCTCGTTGTATAGCTTGAAAAATCTTGCGCCTGTGGCGGGCTTCTTCAAAGCCTCGCAGGCTGCCGACGTCCCCACCGCCCCTTCACTCTTATCCGCAACTGCGGGGGGATACCGTACGAATGCTGGCAACATCAATGACAATACATCGAATGCCTCTACCAGTCGGAATCCACCAGACCCTTTGCGGGGCCATCAGGCTGCGAAGATTAGGCTTGCAGCTCCCTGTACCAGTTGCAGTTTCCAGTTTCCACTGTTAGTCCTGCTTGCTGCTTCCTTACTGCTAATGCCTATGTATTGTTGCTGAACGCGTGTGGAGGGGGGAGCCGAAAAGCGTCCTGGTTAGCGTCCCCGAATCGCGTTGACTGAATTCCTGGGGGGTCGTGGGGCACAAGAAAAAAACTCGATATTCGCGTCCCCGAGGCCATAGCCCCTAGTAAATTACACCAGATTCGCGTCCCCGAGGCCATCAACCTTCGTAAAGTACACAATGATCGCGTTCCCGAGGCCATAATCCTTTGCACAGTAAACAAGATTCGCGCCCCCGAAGCCATAAACCTTTGCAAATTAAGGCAGATTCGCGCCCCCGAATCCATAAACCCTGGTCAGTGGTTGAATATTCGCGCCCCCGACGCCATAAGCCCTAGAAAGTAAGACAAGAGTCGCATCCCCAAAACCATCAACCCTCATAAATTACACCATCCTTGCGTCCCCGAGGCCACAGACCCCCGCAGATTACACAAGAGTCGCGTCCCCGAGGCCACAAACCTTTGAAGATCCTACAATTGCTGCGCCCCCGAGGCCGTAAAGCTTCGCACATTACACCATACTCGCGTCCCCGAAGCCATAACCCCGCGCAGATTACACAATATTCGCGTCCCCGAAGCCATAAACCGTCGTCAGTGACGTAACATCCACGCCGTCGAAACCATACACCTTCGTAAATCAATATTGGCCCTCGCGTGAAGTCCCGACATTGCTTCACGTCAGCATCCAGACATCGCAACGCAGCTCTGGTAGTTCCCATTCTAGGGGGGCCGACGACATGGGGGCGAAGCTCTTACGGATAATACAACTGATGCGAATTTACCATTATCTGACTCGCTGTTAAGCAAAATATGGCAAACTCCGAGCACAACTACAATAAGTCATGCGATTACTCATACACAAATTGGCATTTTCATTACGTCTGACATGTCCTTCTACAGGCGGATTTGTTTATAGAAAATAAATTACCCTGGCGACGTACCCAACCCCTGCGGAAACGCGGGGCGCAAATAGTTTAGGACACTTTATAAGGGGGCGATGACGGAGCGAGGGTTACATATGTCTGCAGACGGAATTCGGGAGACTCGCAGGACACTGGCTACAGGACAAGGACTAGATAAAGCTGATTAGTTACAATCCCTGTGCAACCCTAGCCGCTTCGAAAGCGGGGATCTCATACCGCAGCCCCCCCAGGGATGGCGGATGGCGAGGTCAAATTTGGGTCCGCGCGTGGCGTCACTGTGCTGGGCCCCCCAGCAGGCCTCTCGAAAATGGCGACAGTTTCACAGATCGCAGCCCCCCAGGGATGGCGAGGTCAAATTTGGGTCCGCCCGTGGCGTCACTGTACTGGGCCCCCCAGCAGGCCTCGAAAGTGGCGACAGTTTCACAGATCGCAGCCCCCCAGGGATGGCGAGGTCAAATTTGGGTCCGCGCGTGGCGTCACTGTGCTGGGCACCCCAGTAGGCCTCGAAAGTGGCGACAGTTTCACATATCGCAGCCCCACCCCCCCAGGTATGGCGAGGTCAAATTTGGGTCCGCCCGTGGCGTCACTGTGCTGGGTCCCCCAGCAGGCCTCGAAAGTGGCGACAGTTTCACAGATCGCAGCCCCCCCCAGGGATGGCGAGGTCAAATTTGGGTCCGCCCGTGGCGTCACTGTGCTGGGCCCCCCAGCAGGCCTCGAAAGTGGCGACAGTTTCACAGATCGCAGCCCCCCAGGGATGGCGAGGTCTAATTTGGGTCCGCCCGTGGCGTCACTGTGCTGGGCCCCCCAGCAGGCCTCGAAAGTGGCGACAGTTTCACAGATCGCAGCCCCCCAGGGATGGCGAGGTCTAATTTGGGTCCGCCCGTGGCGTCACTGTGCTGGGCCCCCCAGCAGGCCTCGAAAGTGGCGACAGTTTCACAGATCGCAGCCCCCCAGGGATGGCGAGGTCTAATTTGGGTCCGCCGTGGCGTCACTGTGCTGGGCCCCCCAGCAGGCCTCGAAAGTGGCGACAGTTTCACAGATCGCAGCCCCCCGCAGGTAAGACAGGAGGAGGCAAGAGGGAGGCGGGACGGGAGGCAGGAGGGAGGAAAGGAGGAAATGGAGACCACACTGCTCTATTCAAAACGAATACCCAACCAAGGAGGGTTGGGAAAAAGTCAAAACATATTCAAGATCAGGCAAGAAAATATTCAGAAACATCGCCCCCACACTGCTTGTTGTTATTTTTGAAGATTCCGCCTGTGGAGGGACAGGCCCGACGTAACACTACTGCTACCACCAGAGGCCAAAGGCGACCAGCGAGGGCCAACAGTGCCCGGCCGACCCCGGATCCGGCGAGCCACCCGTACTACGACGTGCGGGCCAACGGGGGCCCACAGGGGCCCCGCGTCGCCCAGCCAAGTCTGGAACTGGCTGGCTACCCACGCGATTTTTGTCGGCGGCAACTCATGGGAGCCTCCCATACCATCTTGTCGGCTCTTGCGAATCAACGCTAATCGCCGCTAAATCTAGGCTAACCGCCGCTAAGTCGACGCTGATCGACGCTAGCTGGCGCTAAATCGGCGCTATCTCATCGACTCCCAGACGCTAATCGACGCTAGTCGGCGCTAAAGACGGAATTAGGAGGATATACACAAGGCTCCCAGGATTTGCTACCACAAATGTTCAATACAGTTACGTAGAACCCATATGGATACAGTGCAAGCATTGCGTTCGGCGGCGAGCCTGGGGCGAAGTGAGGAGGGGCGGGCCTTTTCACAAGGCTTGGAAGTCCTCAGGGCTTCTGAGAAGTTTTCTGAACCTTCCCCGAAAGCACAAAAAACTTCGCAGAAGGCCGGAGGACTTCTGAGAAGCCCAGCCGCCTTCTGAGAAGGCCTTGTCCTCCTCACTTCACCCGTCGCTCGCCGCCGATGTGTGGAGGGGAAATATGTTGTCTTGGAAGGTGCGCCGGGTCATGTGCCCAAGACCTCCCTCACCGAAGACGACCCTTATGAGCCCCCCCTTAGAAGCACCCTGGACCCCCCTGGAGGCCCTCCAAAACCCCCCCGAGATCCCCAAAGCAGGGTGACGGAATGAGCCGCAAGCCACTAGATACGAGAATTTACCACTCTTTCTCGATAGACTTCGCGATTGCAGCGGTCACGGGAAAACTGTTTGAACAGTTCGTAAAATGCAAATACCCAGCGAGGACAGAATAGCACACAGTCCAGGACGAGCAGCATCTGCATGGGTACCAACGGTATGAACAAGAACCAGAAAATCCACCAACCGCGGACCTGCCAAAGGAGAAATATAATGGCACAGCCGATGCCGCTAATACATACATGATTGCGCAGCCAAGCACAGAGAAAACTTTTAGTTTGTTCTATCAACTGGCGTCGGCCCGTCTTGCACACCGCGTCGTACTTCGACAGTTCGGCCTCACACTCTTCGACGCTACGTTTACGCCATGCTACTCTTTCGGCGCAACGCTTGAGGTCGTCATTCGCCAACCGAACACGATTTTCCTGTTCAGACACGGCGCGGCGCTGCGCGTCTTGCATTACCCCAGCGACAACAGGCGTGGCCCTGTCCATAAAATGACCCATAACACCCATTGCACTGATGGCAACAGCTTCCGCGTGCGGGGCGATCCTCTGCGCTACCTCCGCCATTGCTTCCACGAACTCTGCACCAAACACTTCACGAAACAGGTCATTGGCTTGTCCGAGATCGAAATGCCCTGTCTCATGCGCTGCTTGGCCGTACGCTGCTTGGTGAACTTCTCGGGACCGCAATGAATGGTCATAACGTGCTCTAGACGCCGGATCTTTCAAAACGGAATAAGCACAACCAATAGCCTGGAAATCTATCGTTGCATCTCTGATACGATGTGAGTTCTTATCCGGATGTGCCTCAAGCGCCTTCCTTCTGTATGCTTGGCGCAAGTCAGACTCGCTACAAGATCGAGAAACCCCGAGCACCTCGTAATAGTCGGGCATTACATATATGCGTGAATGCAAACGAGCAAAAGATGATCAATACATAATGCACCAGCACCCTCTGGCAAAATGGGCCGACAACGAAGGTTGAAACCCCACTGGTGCTTGAGTCGGCGTGACTTGAGCCCAAAACTGTACTAACCTAGACTTCGCTGCGCCTTGCGTCTCTGTGGCTTGTCTGAGATCGGTCATTTCGTGTGCCGCCGTGGCATGGGTCGCATTGCTGCACGCTGAGCGTGCGCGCGCGTGGCACCTCTGTGTTCGCTGATCTGCTGCGTCTCACGCTGAGTTGCGGTGCCCTGCCTGTGCTACCAAGCGGTCTGCACTGCAGCGCCCCGACCTGCTCTGCGTTGCTTCACGGGGCCCGGAGGCCTACATCCGCTCCTCTGCCTCGCGGCGGGCCCTTCTTCGCTGTGCTGCTGCATTCGATGCGCCGTGCTGCACCTCGCGCTTTTCGTTTTCGAGTCTGATGTTCCAACCGGCGCTGCCCTGTGGGGTCTCACATGGACTGCAAGTCCCTGCTGGAAAATCCCAAGCCTCAACCCTCGTACGGACTCGGGAACGCCTCGGAGCGAGTCCGAGCAGTGCCCCAAAAGACAACCCCAGAGTCCCCACAGACCACCCCAGGAGGGGCCCTACGTGCTCTCTCTCTCTCTCTCTCTTTGTCTCTCTCTCTCTCTCTTTCTTCCTCTCTCTCTCTCTCTCTGTCTCTCTCTCTCGTTCTCTCTCTTTCTTTCTCTCTCTCACTCTCTCTCTCTATCGTTCTCTCTCTTCAAAAGAGGTGCCCTGACTCTCATCAGGCCCGCACGTAGCACGACGGACGAAAAGGCTGAGACCTTCACATGGTTCCCGCTGCCGGCGCCAGGAAGTTGGAAGCACGCGTGATGGAGAATCGGGTGGCCAATCGTAAGTCGGGCCTGTCCCTCGACAGGAGGGATACTCAGAAAGAGTTCTTGCAAAAGATGCTCCGGGGACGAGGTTATCAGCTTGTTGTGCCCACTGTTCAGTGTGTGGTTGAGTATGCTGTATCTGTTGCCGAAGATCCCCCCTGTAGGGGGGCATGCCCGACTTACGGTCAATCTCTGGAGGCGCGCTTCTGGCCGCGGCGCTGGGGCACGCACGGGCGCGGTCGGGGGCGGCAGACCGGGGCGCAGGAGCCGCAACAACTCGGCGCAGGACGCAGGAGCACGGGGGGGGAGGGGGGGCAGGCGGCCGCGGAGGAGGGCAAGAGGCGCAGCGCGCGCGCTCGGGACACGCAGCACTGCAGGCGAGCAGCGGCGCCGAGTGCAAACGAGGGGGGGTGCAGCCGTGCCTGGCGGCACGAGCCCGCGGCCAGCCCGGGGGTGGGCACTTTTTTTGCGGGCCGCCCCCGAGGGCGCGCGAAAACAGCTTCCCCAAGGGGGTCGGGAAGCTTCTGAGAAGCCCCGCCGCCTGCCGCGAAGGCCTCCTCCCTCTCGCCTCCCCCCCTACGCTTGCCGCCGAGCGGACGCGGAGCACTTGGAAGACACGCCGCCGCGCCCGGGGTCAGCCCTCGCCGGCGCTGGCCGCGCCCCTCCTTCCTCCCCGTCGGCCTGCTTCCTGGTTCCTGGTGGCCTGAGAGTTCGTCGAACGCCCCGTCCATCTGCTCCTCTTCCCCCCCCCTCCTCCTCCTCCTCCTCCTCCTCCTCCTCCTCCTCCTCCTCCTCCCCCTCCTCCCCCTCCCCCTCCTCCTCCTCCTCCTCCTCCTCCTCCTCCTCCTCCTCCTCCTCCTCCTCCTGCTCCTTCTTATCCTCCTCCTCCTCCTCCTCCTTCTCATCCTCGTTCTCTGTTGTTTCTCCTCCTGATCCTCGTCTCGGTCCTCCGCCTGGTCCGATGTGTTACTCCTCCCCCTCCTCGTGTTTGGATCGACTCCTCCCCCTGCTCGGACGACCTCGGACAATCTCGAGAGCTCCTGGAGGCGCCCTGGACATAGGCCAGGCCAGGCCGCGCCGAGACTGCCATAGGAGCTCCACGACCGACACGCACCCCCGGGGCAACCCATGGACCCTTTACACTTCGCTGCGCCCGATACCACGCGGCCACCTGACAGCAGCTGGGCGACGATCAGAACCGGGTAGTACGCGAGATGGCGCAGCGACCTGACGCGGCGGCTGGCGCGGGCCGCCAGCGCGGCACGCCGCGCTGGAGACGAGGGCGCTGACGCGCGACCTTGCGCGGGCAGCTTACGCGCCAATGCCAGCGCAGACGATTTCGTGTTCTTCTTCCGTTGCTCACGTGTCGATCCGAAGACGACCTTAAGAACCTTACGGGGCCCAGGGGCACACAAATAAATACACACACAAATCCCAAGATTCCCCATATGTTCGCATATTTCCTGGAGTTTCGTCCTCCTCCCCACTTCCCATAGTTTCCCATATTTTCCAGGGGATCGACGATGAATCGAGTCTGTGTTTTTCCCCCCCCCTGAGAACCCCCAGAAGCCCGAGAGGGCGGCCCGCGGACGATCCCTGGACCTAGATAGTCGCGACCATCCGGGACGATCCAAAAAAGCCACCCCCGGCAGGGCGCACTCCGCCACCGTGCCTCTCCTGGCACGTCGAGGCACTACCGGAAGGAACGCCACAAGAGGAACGAAGCCCATCTCTGGGCCCCGGAAGCGCCCAGGTGAACGCTGAGTGCTAAGAGGAACAGCCGCGGAGGGATCCCAGGGAAAACAGCAGGCCTCAGTCCGCACCCACCGCGGTCCTCATATCAGCGCCTTGGCTGCAGAACACCAGAAGCTGTATGGCAGGGCTCGTCTTCGCAGGTCCCTGCTCTCCTCAGACAGTGGCGCACACAGCGCCCACTCCCCCTTCCAGAGGCTCCCTGGCCGCCCTGACGCCTCCCCGGGCAGCTCCGAGGCCACGAGGCCGCCAAGATGGTTCGACATTGCCTAAACACGAACCGACTAGCCCAGAAGACGAAGAAGAAGACGAAGAAGACGAAGAAGACGAAGAAGAAGAAGAAGACGCGCCCGGCAGTTTTCAAGAGACCTTCAAAGGACTCCAGGACATCCCCAAGACGCTCTCCACGATGCCCTCGAGAGGCCCAAAGCGTTGAGATCTTAGAGTGCCCCAAAAAAGCCCCACTGAAAGCCTCAAAGAGTTCCTAGACGGCCCAGGCTGGCCGAAGAGAGCATCCGAGAGGACCCATGACGGCCTCAGAAAGCTCCAAGACGGCCCAAGAGGGGCCCAGGACCGCCCCAGCACGGCCACACGACGACCCAACTAACCCCCCTGGACGGCCAAAACGACCCCAAGACTGCCCAAAACGGCCCTGAGACGGCCCAAAGACAACCGAAGAGCGCCCCAATGGACCCCCAAGACTGCCATAGAAGGACCCGCAGCAGCCCAAAGATGGCTCCAAATCGGCCCATTTAGCCCCGTGAGAGCTCGTCAAGACGTGTCAACGAGAGGTGTCACAGGTGTGACGGCATTCTGGGAATTACTCGAAGGATTCCCACACAAAGCGGTTTGCTAGCACGGTAGCGGAAGTGTCGCAAGCAGTTGGCTTGATACCCCAAAAGAGAAAATCGGAATGGCTAGATGGTTCCCCAAATAGGTCCAAACACATGCATGCGGCACCATCGGGGGTGACGTGTATACATGGCACCTCAACGGGCCTCTCGGAGTTTCTTGGAGGCCTCTGAAGGACCTCTGGGAGGCTCTTGGGGGAAACCAAGTCCTCCTCCTGCCCATGGGTCTCCTGAACACATATGATGTCATGCTTGGGGGGGACATCATGATAAGACCCGAAACGGTTGCCGAACCGTCTGGGCAGGAGTATGGACAGATGTTGTAAGCTTGGAAATTGACACCAACACCAACTCAGGGCGTTGCCTCCACCAGGGGAAGATGATCCTAGATTTCGGTGTTGGTGGCAATCTTTCGGCCGCCTAGGAAGCCAGAATATTACCACCATCACCGAGATTGGGATACTCTTCCCTCGGTGGAGGCACAACGCCGATATTGGTGCTGGTGTCAACCTCTAGGCCTCCGAAGATGCGAAAAGGGTGTGACTGTTCGAAGTCACCATGCCACAAGTGCAACGAATCCGTTTTATGCCACCCGCGGAGAGTGACCCGAAGGCACAGCGGGCACGGCGGCTCCGCCCGAGGAGCAGAGCGCACCGGCCGCCGAGCTGGAGGGAGAAGAAGACGAAGGGGATGTGGAGGCTGAGGTGGAATCCGAAGACGAGGTGGAAGATGGAAGACGTCGCGGAAGATATAGATTGCGAACGTCTGCGGGGGATAGCCTCGCCGCGCTCGAGGGGCACGATGGCTGAGAAACGAGGAGGCGGCGAGAGAGGAGGGAGAGGGGCGAGGAGGGCATGGAGGAGGAGAAACAGGAGGGTCTGAGCCTCCTCCTCCTCCCCCTTCCTGCCCCTCATTCTCCTCCTCCTCCCCCCTCCTCCCTCCTCTCCTCGCCCTTCCCTCCGGAGCTCCCATCGCCGGGCCACTCTTGTGGACGGCCCTGATTGGCGGCGCGCACAGGGGGGTGGGGGGGGGGGGGGGGGCTTCTTTAGTTAGAAGGCGCCGGCCTCACATCTATAGGCAAGGCCCGCGCCGTCTGAGAAGCAGGGGCGCTTCGAAGAAGCCCTCCCCCCTCCCCCCACCCCCCCCCCTGCGCGTGGACGGCCCCGAGTCCCGAAGCAGGGGCTCCAGGGAGATCGGACAGCTCAGAGCACACGCAACACCTGCACCCCCCCCGGTCTCTCGGGAGGCCCCGAATAGGGGCGGCAGGGAGGCGGCAGGGAGGCCGCGGGAGGCCTCCGGCTCCCGGCTTCTCCCCGGCACCCATTCCCCCCTGGAGTCTGCTCCCCGCGCTGCGCCCAGCCGCGGCAGCGAGAATCTCCAGAGACGCCCCCCCCAACGAAAAAAAACACGCCCAGGGCGACGAGGGCGGCGTCGACGTCGCCGCAGAGGCACCCCAGAGGCAGCCGCGCTCGCACCTCGCGCCACGAGAGGCGCGAGCCGCGAATGACTTCGCGCCCTCGGCTTAGGTCGGGCATGCTCTCCTACCGGCGGGTTCCGGGCGAGAATCCAAAAAATACGCCCGAAAAATGCTCGAAACCATTCAAAAAATAGTGGGGACATCCTCCCCTGACTTGCTCTGACCATCTCTGAAGACTCCTCCTGCAGAGGGACCTGCCCGACTTGAGCCTCGGGCTGCCCCCCGCCTCTGGGAGAAGGCGGGCGGTGGACACCGAGGCATCGCGGACTCCGCAGCGCGAGCTGCGAC